CACCCACACGCCCACCCACACCCACACCCACACCCACACCCACACCCACACCCACACCCACACCCACACCCACACCCACACCCACGCTCACCCACACCGACACCCTAAAAATACTAGCAGCATCCTCAAAAGCGATTTTCTGACCAAAGCCCAAGAGTGGTATCACTTGCAGGGCTCGGCATTTTTCACAGGCATGTCAGAAAGAGCTGATATTTTGCTTTTAGAGGTTTCTAATGATGGTCTATCGTTTGAGATAATCAAATCGAAAATCAAAAATTTAGCTCCGACTGGCTTGGTTCGTGCTATGGCGGACCCTCTCTTAAACAGCTCTATAACTTAAACAAAAAGAGCGAGGGTCTTCTTTACGGCTGTGTCAAAAACAGCTATTAAGTTTCTATGATAGGCGAGCTTCGAAGCGAGTTTTAGTAATATTTGTAGTCGGAGTATGCAACTATACCCATATTTTTACTCTTTTTGCAGGGGAAAATGCTCGGAGATTGACAGATACAGACGGTGCATATGTTACCTGTTGATAAGTTGTGTCGATATCATTTTCTTAAATGACTGGTTTGATTGGTCAAAAACCGCTGAAATGGTTGCAGTTTCTTTATCTATCATGCCACCACTTTTATTTGTTCGTGAGTTTTCAATTTCGGTCTTGTCTGATAACGATCCTATCTCCACTTTTCGTACATATGATATATCCATCAAAGCTTTTGTTTGATCGTCCAGAGTACTAGTTACGAGTAAGCCATTACGATTTTGAAAATCCCGCAAAGTCTCCGATAAGACAATATTACTGCATAATTTATCATTACATTGGATGTAACCGTGTAATTTTAGATAAGATAAAACGTCATTTAATTCGATTGGTACTGAATGAACAGCACTGACCATAATGATAAGCAACACAAAAGAATTATTCATCTCAACGAATCTAAAACAGATTAACAGAGTGTTGAAAATGACAATAAACTATTTTGCATTAGTTGATTAATCGAAGTACGGGACATTTTCTTATCAATATGAGCAAATCATTTATAATTTGTTCGAAAACTTTTCCTCATAAAGAGTTACACGTAACCCAGAAACAATAGCTTTAAGATGTTGTTTGACTGTTGAACGTCTAGTACCATTGAAAAATCTGTTAGTGAATAGAATCATAACTACACAAAAGTTAACAATACAGAATATGGAGGAGTCGATCGATAAAGTTATGGTCATATTGCATCATCTAAAAATAGCATCATAAAAGTAGAAAAATCAGTTACATCATATTTTTGAAAACATCGCTCCAACCACAATATTTAGTGACAAAAAATCAAATTTTATGATAAATCATAAGGTTTTATTGAGGAATACTGTGTATGGATAATCATATGGGCGTGCTGCATCATATGATACCCCGAACTTTATTTGTTTGTTTAACTTCAACTGCACATCCGAAAAGGCTGATTTTTTCACCACTTATAGTACACATATAATGCTATGATTTGTCATTGTTTGAGCTGTATGTCTCACCAGGACTAAGAGTCATCTAGTACCTTCTTATTATCTTTCTGTTCAAGTACTTCGTATCTAATTTTTTAACATAAAGTGCGTGTCACTCAGCGTTTTTCAGATTGTATGAAGTCTTGTAATTTTGGCTACTAGGAGCATGAATATTTGATGAAAAATAAATACCGATTAGCGATTAATAAAAACCGAATGAACAACAATAGGTAGACTCACACACATTCATATCTGCTAAAGCATACATTTTCTCTATCACAAACACGTATTATCGTCTGTATAGCATCTAAGTGAGACAGTTTTTTTCCGTTCTTTTTTCTTCTTTGAATGTTATCATGTTCTAGCTACAAATTTCGTAGACAACAATATTTTATTCATTCTATTGTATCTTATCTCCCAGTCACATTGTTCTTGTTCTATCTTCAGTCGATTATTTTCCTTGATTCTGTTCGTTCTGTCTTTTCTTTACCACGTTTTTACACAATTGCAATAGCTTAAACCTTTGTATTATGTCCTCTCGACAAATTCAATGGAGCTGTTCTCAATGTAGATCTGGTGCGATGGATCGTCGAAAATATCGCACAAACTGTCACTCCATGTTAACCTACACATGTATTGGGTCGGGAAAATCTGGGTTGTACACAAACTATTATCGACATCGTGATAGCTGTATTCATTGCACGTCAGAACTTGAAGAAGAACAACCACAAAAAGTACAAGAGAAACAGGTGGCTATTCAACAATTTCATATCTTAAATGATGGTTAGTAATATGAATGCTCTTGGTTTACACATGTACTTTCTATTTCGTTATTTTGAGTCTCAATATTCTATAACAAGTAATTAATTGTATACCATTTTGTTTCGATATTTTAGAACAACATCCGTGGTCTGAATGGGGTCATACTAATGAATCCTGTCTACAACATACAGGGCATGATATTGAACAAGTACAACAGTTGTATTCAATATGTGAACAATTACTTATTGATTACTGCTACCATAGAAACAAGGAATATCCAAATAGTACTAATGCAACATATTTATCTCCTATGAATTTACTCGTAGTGACGTTGTGGTACTTAAAGCATTATCATGCTGAACGTTATATTGCTACTGAATTATATTTGGATCCATCAACAGTGCATCGCATGTTATCAAAGGTTGTGGATATCTTACATTCGTCGGTATATCCAGGATTAGTTTCATTGCCTGCCAATATGACTGACAAAAACATAAAACATGGAACTGAAGAACACCATAAACTAATAGTTGATTCGACCTTCATTGCAATTCCCCAACCAAATGATTCACAGCAACGTAAAGCATATTATCATTCAAAAAGTACAACAAATTATGCATTTAAAGTCCAAATAGCTTGTGATTTTTATCATCGAATAGTACATGTATCTGAATGTTATCATGGTAGTGTACACGATATTACGATTCTGAGGGAATCGGGATTATTAGAGCACACAGAAGAAGCTGTTCAAATTATTGCGGACAAAGGCTATATTGGTGAACAGTATGTCATCACTCCAAAAAAAAAGCCTTATAAAGGCGAATTAACAACTTAAGACAAAAACTATAACCGGGATATAAATAGTGCAAGAGCCGCTATCGAAAATATCAATCAACGTCTCAAAACGTATGCTATTTTGGGAAGTATATACAGAGGAGATATTGATGATTTTCATAAGATCACTAAGATTACACGGGTTGTTTCTGCTTTATGTAATCTTAACTTGATTAAACATCCTATTCGTAAATAAAGATTATAAAAAATGTTCGTATTTTTTGTTTCACTATTGGACTACAGAACGTTTTTAGTTCGACTATAAGTTCTTTTAGTTTTCTGAATAAAATTTGCTTTATGTTAAAAAATTAGATACGAAGTACGTGAACAGAAAGATAATAAGAAGGTACTAGATGACTCTTAGTCCTGGTGAGACATACAGCTCAAACAATGACAAATCATAGCATTATATGTGTACTATAAGTGGTGAAGAAATCAGCCTTTTCGGATGTGCAGTTGAAGTTAAACAAACAAATAAAGTTCGGGGTATCATATGATGCAGCACGCCCATATATTTTTTACACTATATTTTAGAAAATAATCTATGTAGATTGTGACAATCTAAACGATTGTGCACTTCCCCTTCTCCTTCTCTCATATACACTCAAATAAGTTTGTCCTTATCCTACACATCGCGTTATCCACACGGTTTTTCTCTTCGTCTATACACTGTAAAAAAATAGGTACCGTATAAAACCCTTTAGGTTTCGCAAATAAATACGAAACTTTTTTCGGTTTTGTGCACAAGAAAAGGTTTTGAGGGCATGAGAAGAAACATTCTAAGAGTTTCGAAGAAAAATAGTTCCGAAAAACACCTTTTAAGAGTTTCCGATATCTGCTCGAAACCTTTGTTTTGGCAGAAAAATCCGCACGGTTTTGTAACGTCCTGTTCGAAATCTTCTATTACTACGAAAACCACGAAGGGTTGTACACGCGTGAGAGAAAAAGCGCTCTTCTAGCTGCTTTGAAGCAGATTCCATTTCACTGCAACTTCGAGCTATTTTAAAGCTACTTACAAAAAATCGCTATCGATTCTCGTTCCCTTCAGTTCTTCTCTCACTACTCTCGCTCCACTTTTCTCTTCGCTTCCGTGAAACCTATTCAGCTTTTACAAATTATTTAGAAAGCATCGCTTCAAGTTAATCGAGGCTGCATATTTCGAATCTGATCTGTTAGGATATCTTTTAAATCGATATTTACAATTCCAGAAGTACTGAAATTGAGTCTGAGCGAATTTACTGGAATGAATATTGATAAAACTAGAATTCTAAATACTTGAGTTTGGTCATTTTCGAAATGATCCCAGATTCAAAAGATTCACATCCGATAACTTTTAGTCGATTATACGAAAATTCGTCGAAACTTTATTTTAGTACTCACACGATTGAAAAATATTAATTTCAAAGTATTCAATAACGAAAGTCAGATTTTTTCGGATTCTCTCAACTCTTGATTAACGTGGTTCAACTATTGAAAAAGTTGTCAACGCTGAGCACTGATGAAACTAAAGTCCGAAATTTGTAAAAAAAAAGATCGAAAAAATATAGAGAGCGGAAGAGTAACGTGAAAGTAGAGAAGTAAGGCGTCGTGCATAAAGAATGGACTTTGCGGTATTTTCCATGTATACTGGTAGTATTTTCATATTAAATGGAAAGCTCATTTTGAAGGATTCTCCGATTTATTCTCTACAAAGTTGCTCCTGTCAAGTAATCCGAATACCTTTTTTTAAACGCACAATATAGCTGCTTTGTTTATAATGATCAACTTTCAAAAAGAGCTCATCCCATGTTTTTTACAAGTTGCTTTTGAACGTTGATTACTATAAATAAAGCAGTTATATCATGCGTTTAAAAAAAGGGTATTCGGATTAATTGACAGAAGCAGCTCTTTAGAAGATAAATCGGAGAATCCTTCAAAATGAATTGTCCATTTAATATAAAAATACTGCCGGTATACATGGAAAATACTGAAAGGCCCACTATCCAACTCCGAGAGACGACTCATCTGTACTCCACTGACTAGTTGCCATGTATTTATATGACTACAGGTTGCGATACTACGTTGAGCTCCGACAAGTACCGTCTA